ATCCAATTTGAACAGCAGCTGCTTTACCCGAACCCCCAACTGCTTCCTCGACTTTCACCCTTTATTTTTCTGTTTCCCTTTTATCAGGAGTACACTGGCCATTGAGGCAGAGCGTATTTCTCTGGTGCAAATGGACCTTTGATCTAAAAGTTTAACCCTAAAGAGAAACAGACTGGAGCAAACAGTCGAGGGATACCCCCAACCAGCCCAAGTGAGCAAGGAAGTCAAACTAATGGAGAGTCTGCTGATTTGCTGACATCTCTTCAGCTGCTTCATCCAAAATTAACAAATTTAAAATTTGGCCTAAACTGTATCTCATTGTTTTGTTTTGTTTTCTATATATATTTTGAAGTGTGGATACATGAATGGGGTAGCTTGGGAAAGATTGGAGATTATATCCATTGTTTTTTGTTTTTATTTATTGAGTTCCCCCCTACACTTTAGTTCCCCACCCCCCTTCCTCCCCTCCTCCCTCTTTTTCGCTGGGTGTTCATGGATAATGACAGCAAAGTAGAGCCCAAGGATTCGTGCCCACTTATGTCCTGTTTTAAGGACAAGTTCAAAAGTTCCAAGTAGTTATCTATTTCTTGTAAAATACTAGGCTGTTTAAAGAATAAACTTTCAATTCTGCATCTGTATTATAATATATGAAAATGATCTGCTGGAGTCATACTTTTTTATTGCAGTATGAAATAATAAAACAGTCTGATGTGTGGGCTGTTCACACCTGTGTCTGAACCATTCAGGAAAACTGCAAAATATGTGTGCAACTGATTTTTTTCGATTAACCCGGTCACACTGCAGGAAACCACATTTTAGACATCCTGTCTGTGAAAAGCTCGAAATGTGTGCATGGAAATTTCATCAGTGCCAGGTGATTAAGAGGGTCTATTAATGAAATTAAATTTAGGAACCATGGGACAAGTTAATTATCTATGCATTTAGCCATGTAGACAAGGCCAAGATGACCTGCTGGTGTTTAAGTATAAGAAGGGAGAAGAAAGATGACTACGCGCCAGAGAGAGAAAATAACAGCTGAGGCTGTAGCATACACTGACTTGCCACAGTGTTTGGTACAGTTGTTCAACTGTTCATTAATACAATCACATATACCACATGGACCACATGGACAAGGTCAAGATGATGGGGAATTAGTGTGACTTGCACAACTGTGAACATGACACGATTGTTGATGCAGACGGGCCGGTCTAAGTATTTCAGAAACTACTGATCATCTGGGATTTTCCCATACATCCATCTCTGGGATTAACTGGGAATGATCTGAAAAAGACAAAAGAAAGCGTGACTTCGGTAATTCAAACAACCACGGCATGCAGAAGAGCATGCTCAAAATAACCTTGAAGGAGATGGGCTACAGGTTGGATGTTTCGAGCAGCAGAAGACCACACCAGGTGGTGTTACAAAAGCAGATATGAAGATATGAGGCTCTCAAATCTGCAGCAACTGTGTGATGCTGTTATATGAGGAATGTTTCCAGCACCTTGTTGAATCTACTAATCTAACTGAAGACAGTTCTGAAAGCAGATGGGAGTTCAACCCAGTACCAGTAAGGTTTAGCTAATAAAGAGTCTATTTAATGTATTTTGCGTGCAGTAAACCAGACTTTTGCTCCTTTATTTCTTTCAATTTTTTCCCACATAAGCAGTTTGTTTTGTTTTTTTTAAATCAAAACTAACACTTAAGCCTCGAAAGTACAGTATCAAAAACAGCTTACTGATATTGAGGAAGTAAAACTGCATTTTCCCACAGTGCTGGCGCTAGTGTTAGTTACATGGTCAAGTCATATTTTTAAATCCACAAAGGGGAAATTAAAAATTCTCCCATAAACAACAAAACATTTTTTAGCACGTGCTCTGGAGAATCAACATGTGATGAGGAATGGGCTTCCCAAGAATGACTTATCAAAACACCACCGACTTATAGTGATCAGCCACAACACTAAAACTATGGCTGAAAAGAATAACAATCATCTTGTTCCAATGAAATGTGAAATTGCAGAAGTTACTTTGGCTGTGAATCTCTCGGCTACATATTACCACAGACCAAGATACACCTAAAGCACCTGCCACAACACAAAAACTGCACAAGAGACTTGACAAACAACCCAAGGTGTTGAACTGTCTTTACCTCCCCAGACTCAAGTTAGGTGCTCTGGTACAAGTTCAATCAAAATCAAAATTTATTTATATAGCACATATTAAAACAACAATGTTGACCACAGTGCTTCACAGTCAGTACTGTTCACAACATACATGATGTCCCACAAGCCCCAAAGGATCTGCTACCAAAACCTTGTTCAAGACACTACAGGACAGCCCTAGAGAGTTTTATTTTTCTGTTCGCAAGGAGATGACTAAGATTTTAACATAAACACAAAATCTTTGAACATAAACATTTTTAAAGTTAGTGTAAGTGTAAGTTTGCAGACAGGAAATACTGGAAAACTTGCAGTCAGCTCCAGCTTCCTCACGAGCAGCTGCAATGTTGAAGGGGAACTCAAATCTAGTTTACAAGCGACACAGGCTAAACACTCCAGTGACAAGAGCTTATTTAGGTAATGCAAATGCTGAGCACCAGACTTCCCATGCTGTGAGCTTTGCTACACCTACATGGCCCTGATACCCAGCCTAGAAGCAGTTCTGCATACTTTCACCACAAGATTGGTGAACCTGAAGTCAGAATTACTGAGAGCACTGATGATAGGAAAGAAGCTGATTGGACAGTGATTGGAAGATACATCCCAATGTCAGCCATTAGTACCAGATAATAATCTGTGGTCGAACCAGTGGAAATGTAGGCCGGTTCTCAAATGACACTCAGGAGCCTGCTGGTGAGAAAGAGGAAAATGACCCCATTAGTACAGTTTGGGTTGTTAAACTGGTTCTGTTCTGAAAATGTGAAAATAGTTTCCTTGGTAATACTTAATAATTTAAGCACTTAGCATCTAATATTTAATTCAACAGTATTAAATGAGATACACCTGCTGACGATGTCATCATAGTTTGTACTTTCTATGATAATCTGATTTTGTAGTTCCCAGAGGAAGCACCTGTCAGGTTTGCATCCAGCCAGAAACTGATCTGTGTTGTGAAAAAAGCCCCTAAAATGACAGAGATGTGCAGTGATTAGGCTTGTTGTGTTGTTCTCAGTGACAAAATCAAATCACTCTTCAAAAGGGTAAATAGGAACTGAAATGTCCTCATGCTACGTTGCCAGATTGTTGGCTACACCCATGAGTCATGGTCAGAAATTTATATGTGCTCATCATTGCCATGCGTGTCAAGATAATTTTGGCCTTTTCTTGATTTCTTTGAACGATTCTTTTTCCAGGGCGGAATGATTGGACAACATACATCTTTAGTGACTTTACAAAACAATTATCGGGTGGGCAAGTTTGAATTTGTTTTGTATTTTCTCTAATCCTCACAGAGTCAAAGTATATATACAGGCTTAAATATATCTTCTGCTTGTGCTGTGTTAGTGTCTGCATATCATTGGATGATGGTAATCTTCCTGCCCCTGGCTATCATGAGTCTTGGTGAGACGGGTTTCTATGCCAACAGCGCCCTTGTAGCCTCTGGCGCCAACAGTAGCGCAAGTCCTTGGGTGTGATTGTGGTCCGCATCTTCGTGCCCGGAGTAGATTATGGTTTCACCTGAAGACGGTCTGGTCTGGCCGCTTCCGATCCATCGGGTCTCACATAGTCTGAGAACCTTGATGCTGTATCTTCTCATCTCATTGGCCACCTGCGCTGACTTGCCACTTTCGTTCAGGGTTCTGATGTTACAGGTCCCTATCCTGGTCTTGGCATTGGTCGTAAGAAGACTTGTCGGCGAGCTTGCTTTCACCGGCACGCATCATGGGCCCCACTGAAGAGGAGTCTTCCTGTCCAGGCAGTTGTCGGGATGTACTTGTTGTTGCAGTTTCTGTAGCATGGCTTTTTTTTAGAGGATGGGCTTGCTAGCCCCACACCCAACCCTCCTCTTTTCTCATCCTGGATTTGGGACCAGGCAATGGCGGAGTTGGCTCTTATATATATATATATTCTCTCAAATCTTTTAAGAAGTGTGCTGAAGGTTCTACAAAATCTTTTAACTTGACAAGGCCAAGGCATATTTACAGAAATTGAGCTATTTGGCTACAATGACCAGAGTTGGGTTTGGAGGGGTAAAGGTGAGGCTTTCAAACATAAGAACATTTTACCAGCTGTCCAGCATGGTGGTGGTGCTCTGGGGTTGTTTCGCTGCCAGTTGTATTGGTATATTGCACAAAGTGGATGAAATAATAAAAGAGGACTACCTCCATATTCTTCACCTTCACCTCAAACCAACAGCTAGACGGGTGTTGGGGCTTCCAACAGGACAATGATCCCTAATACACATGAAAACTGTCTTTTGTAAATGATAGAGCAGACCACAAGTAAACCGACAGAAATAAAAAAAATGACCTCACTGGTAGGTCGCCTAAGACTGACTGCTCAGGAAACCAGCAATTCCTGCAGCAGGTGACTTAACAGGAACGGAAGAAAAATATCACTGGGCCATCCGCCTGAGCGTACATGTAGAAGCTGGTATTTTATGAAGAGTCCGCCTACTCTTTGAAAGTGCCAGTTTGCTGAAGCACCCCTTTAAAATACTGTCCACATAATTGAAGCAGTATCAACAAAGATACTGTCTTTAGATTTTCTCAGCACGTAGTTTATCACTGACATCCTCCAGTTTGCAGTCAGATATTTCCTTTAAGAATTGAATGTCCAATAGAGGCCTGCGTGATGTGACCGGGCCCGAATGTTTACCTCTCACCCCAACTATGTGACTGGAGTTGTGGAGTGGGTGGGCCCCCGTGATGATGTGTTCACAAGGTCCACACTGTCCAGAAAATCCTGTGCACACCTTGTTCCACCCACCATCCCTCTCTCACTCTCTCTCCTGCTTGCTTTCCCCTTACCTTTCTCCCTTCTGTGCTCCCCCGTACTCTTCTCCTGCTCCCCTCACAGACTCAGCTATTTGTTAAGAGACTCTGCTTGAGGAGTTTTTGGAGACGCTTGTCGCTTGCAGCCGCCATGGTTCATAACAGCAGCAGCATCTGCAGAGTTGCCCTGCTGGTACTCTTCAGCCTCCTGGTAGCCTTCGTCCATGCAGGTAAAACCTCTAGTTCTGAGTAACATATGTATATATATATATATATATATATATATGTATGTATATTTGTGGAATACATTTGTGGAATACACAATAAAGATCACCTGGTTGCAAAGAAGTTAATGGAGGTGGAAATGTTTCAGAACGAAACATGCAAAACCGTAAAGAAAGCATCAGCCTGTCGCATTTTAAATGTGGGCAAATTCATTTCTTACATTTTTTTTAAGCAGGTCGAGGTGATTTCTTTACAGACACTGAGATAATTTCATAATCTCCATAAAGAAGAAAGTATTTTCTTTTATTATAGCTGAGCTTTTCTTATATATGAGTACATTTTTAGGGTTTTTAGACAATGTTGCCTGCGTTTCTCACAGCTCTCAAACAAAAAACTTTGTGTATTCATGTCATTTTTCCCACAAAGGCACACTGAGGGCCTGATGTGTGTGTCGGCGGCTTGATGTAAATGATGCAGTTGTGAGAACTGAGAGAGCTGTGAAAGCTGCTCTTTGACGAACAGGATGACTCAGTTGCTTTGCCTGATGTTCGTATGAAACTCAAACCCGCCGCCCTCTCACTCGAGCTAAGCTGAAGTGATTCAGCGTAGTGCTGGTTTGGATTTTGGTACCTCTGGAGTGCATTTTATGTGCGTGAAGAGAATTTAGAGATGGTAAGAAGAACATTTCACACAAAAACTGTTGGTTTTCTGAATAAGGGCTATTTTGGATTGACAATCTGAAATAGCCCTTGACAGATTGCCACATCACTGCTCTTTCTTTCACTTTCTCTTACCTCTGCCAGTGTTTCCTTGGAATATATCTCAGATTCACTCGAGAAAACCTCGGGAGACTGTAGACTGGCTCTCAGGCCTAGAGGTCAGAGTAGCAGTCAAGAGGGAAATGGGGGCAACAAGGTCCTCCCTGTCTTGTATGGGAAAGAGGCAAAGAAAAATGTGTGACCTGTCACCGATTACACAACACCTACATATATTGTGAAAGACAAGTCTGCAGGAGTTATGACTTGCCTACAGCTTTTTACATTTTGTGGGCTGTTCTAACTTTGGAGGGTGCAGTTGCAAGGTGAAAGCATGTCTTCTATGCCTGCCAACACTGACGAATGAATGCTTTGTTGGATCACAGAGCAAAAAAAAAACTCCCGCCAGGAGAAGTGCTAATAAGGCCAAGTCGTCATGGCTACAGGTTGCATCTCTGCTGACTTCATATATAAATTTGCAGTGGCACGACTGCATTGTCATACAGCAGTGTCGTCAATTGTTGTCACAAGTCTTGACCACAACATCATCCAAGATGAGCGTGACAGGCAGCTTCATTGGTTGACTCAGCATAGGAAACACACAGAGAAATGTCAAATAAGAAGTCTAAGCAAAAACAGTGTGATAATTACTCACATACACTCAGTGTTAAAAATCGTAGCCTTGACAGTGGTGTAGTTGTGTAATGTGAAAATGGAAAACAAAGTCTCTTCAGGCTGTCCTTGTTTCAGAGTAAAATCCAAAACACACACCAATTATTTTTCAAATATTTTACTGTGGAAAATGTGTCCACCTACTGTGGTATTTTAAGATGGCGAAGCGAGGGCACACAACACCACCGGTGTCATGTCTGGGCTGCATTACTTGTGGTTTTCGATGCTCTGCCAGGTTGCTTTACACATGCATTCGTCTGCGTGCTTTGTCACCTGTCTGACTTGTGTGAAATCCTGAGCAAGGAGGCCAGGGGCCCCAACAAATGGGCCTCTGTGCTTTTTAGTGTCTGAAATCAGCCCTGCCCACAGCCTGCCAAACGCGTAGCGAGTCTGTGCTATATAAGAAGAAAGGCTAACGGCTGGAGTTGTGTATCTTTAAAAAGAGAGAAACAAGCAAAGATTTTTTTCCACCCTGAAAAACGCGATGTACACATATGCACGCAGTGAGCGCTACTACTGTGAGCAGGAAACTGCACGTAAATGACAGATGCAGCAAATATGTTACAAATTAAAATTCATATATGTAATTTCATTTGATTTGTTAGAAGGTTCAAATAACAAAATATCTTTTCCTGGTTCACACTTCACATGGTTAAATCGGACAGACAAAACTGTCATTTTATATATATATAGCACACATGTTAACACAACTCAAGGCTGCTGTTGCTGTTTGTTGCTCTGAATGCTCTGTGGGCTTAAAATGAAAATAACTTCTTTCTAAAACTCATTTTTATTTTTAGAAATGAAAACTCCTCAAAGCACTGGTGCGTGCTGCTACTTTCAGAAAACAGTGCGAACTTGCTCTAACAAAAAGGAGAACAACAAATAAGATGTCCAACGTCAGAACTGTTTCACAGGCACTTCATTATATATATATCAAAAATAACTGTGCTGGTTTTTTTAATGGGAGTAGTACAAACTGTGCCATGATGTACCATTGCAAAATGCAGCTCTGTGAGACTCTGTAGGTATACCTTAAAAATCATAAGGTATAATGAATTATTCCATTAACTATGAACTAATTATGCACTCGTGTATTGCAGTTTAACAGCTAAATGTTGTGCATGAATGGTTACAATATCAAAAACTCTAATAATATAAATCCAAACTTGACTAATTACCACAATAACAATCACCACGTTAATAGAGATTATAATCCATTTATAAGAAAACCATTGGAGTGGTCATGTGAAAGAACTGTGAGTCCAAACATGCTGAGGCACAGACAGTAGATAATATTTTTTTTTTCTCTAGTGGCTCCTTGACTAGATTCAAACCCTACCTCATGGAAACAAACCCAACGGAAAACATGTTATTATTTTTTTAACCTTCTTATTAAATCCTTCTGTCCAGAAGGTGCAGCCTTTCACACATAGAGAATATTTAATAAACAAGTTTGTTTGACATCCAGTGCCCAGCCACTGGCTGGCTAGAGCCTGTCCGGTTGTTACTGGTTGCAGCCTGCTGCCCTGCGTGACCGCACAAGCTGCCTTTTGTGCCCTCGGCTGAAGGCCTCATTGATGCCTGAGCTGGCCACAGGCCCGGGCCTCCAAACCTTCAGCCAGCTACAGGACAGGAAGCTGCACACAACTCTGAGTCAATACTGACATCAGGCTGCGTATCAGAATTTCAGAGATACTGCCGCTAACAAGACATGATATGATGTGCACTAGTTTCAGTAATTTTGTTGTGTTTTCCCCTCTGTTAGCAACTAAATAAGGTGCATTTGAGCCTGAAATAAGGATGAAGGAGCTTCCTGAGGGCATCAAAGGCCACAAAGTAAATATGTAGGGTCAAATAGCTGGGTGTAAATATGTTTGCATTACGGTTTTTTGGTATGCGCAGAGTTGAGGACAGAATAATTGAATCTGTGAGGGTCTGAATGGGTGGGCTTGTCTACATCGAGCTTATTTTTTAAGCAGAGATGATGATCAGTTTTTCCCCCTCTAACTTCTAAAAAACATCTGTACAGCTGTTCGATTGCCAAAGCTGTTACCAAGCCGTTAAAGTGGTTTAAACTCTCCAAGTGAGCATTTCCTAAACTCTAAAAATTGGTTAGGAAACACAAAAAATTAAGTCCAGAGAGACATCGTGTTTTTCTGGCTACTGCAGCAGTGTGAAAAGTCTCAGGGTGACTACATGCTCAGAGCAGAGGAATGCCAGACAAAGAAGATTTGGGATGGAAGGAGAAGAGACGACTGAAGTTGAGAGCAGAGTCGGCAAATCACTTCATCTCCTACAGGATGTTTGTTTGTTTGTTCTGTTTAAGATTGGCTGAACCCTTTTGGGGGAAAAGAAACATGTTGAGAGACTCTACCTGGACCTCAAATGGATAAAATGTTCATCTTCTACAAAGAGATCTTTATACCCAGACCTGAGCTGTTAACCCAGTGAGACAAGAGAGACGCTGTTTGAGTCCTTACAGAAAGCCCCATGCATGCAGTTTTGCATCCCACCTAACACAAAGACAAGCAGGCCCGTTAGCAAACCTGGCGCCTCGTCAGTGAAAGACTCCATCCATCCATCCATCTTCATCCGCTTTATCCGAGGCCGGGTCGCGGGGGCAGCAGCCTAAGCAAAGAGGCCCAAACCTCCCTCTCCCCAGCCACCTCCTCCAGCTTATCCAGGGGAATACCAAGGCGTTCCCAGGCCAGCCGAGAGATATAATCTCT